CTAAGTAAGATGCAACAGTAATCACATCCTCTTCTACCAATGTCCTTTTTGCCCTCACCCACACTGGCACCATTCTCAACCATGTGTCAAGAACCTCATCCTTCTTGTCTCATGAGAAGGTTGCAGGTGGGTTCAGTGGGGTCTTGGGATACCAAGGATATTGTTGTCCCACTTCCGAGACAGGTGGCGACTGCGGTGTAGCAACAGTCGCTGGATTAGAAGATGAAGAAGCAACAGTCTGCGATAGAGCTACTGTTGATGACACACTAGGTGGTGGTCCTAACTTAGCGGCATAGAGGACTGTCATCGCTGAGAGTGGCAGCGATGGTAGAGTTGTTGGCCGGATCCCTGGCTTATGCAGCGCTTGTAGAATCTGGTCTAGAGTATCCTGCATTGCGTCTATTTTACTGTCTATGTACACATGCATGGATAGGACACTAGCTTTTAGGACCTTTCCTGTAGTGTTAAGTGCGGAATCCTTCAATGCCTCTAGCGCAGCCATATCTGTCTCCCTGCCCTCTAATCTGACACCTCTTTCTTTGATATCAACATGTTATTCGTTAAAATAGGACATTACATTGTGTCCTCTTTCGAACGAATTCAGTTTTGGCTACAGCCTAAGCAATGTAGGCATGCCCATCCACTCGGCCCATATGCAGAAGCGTGCCGAGATCCATACTTGTTTATAATTGTGAGGACCAAGGCCCCTTGATTGTGTCCTTGTCGGAGAAGTTCGACAAGTGTGCTGAGATCCGTACTTCTTTAGGATTGTGATGAGCAAGGCGGCTTAATTGTATCCTTCTTAGACAAGCTCGCTTCCACTATCCCGAAGTAACGTAGGCATGTCCATCCTTTCGGCCGAAACATCTAATACTCATATGGATGTTTGGTGGGATTCCGTCTTCTTTACAATGCTTAGTATAGCGACTGTCCATCCTCCCAGGTAATTGGCCCGCATGCAGAAGTGTGTTGAGATCCATACTTCTTATACTTAAAAAATTTAATGAGCAAGGCATTATAACTGGATCGATGTTGGATAACACTTTTATGAAGCGCCTTGATTGTCTCCTTGTTCGACAAACTTGCTTCGGTTATCTTTTAGTAACACATGTATGTCTATCCTCTCGGCGAGTCGGTTATATGGATTCGGTGAGATTCATGTTCTTTAGAAGGCTTAGTATAGCGACAAGCACGGCCAGGCAGTTGGCGAACATGCGGAAGTGTGCTGGGATCCATACTTGTTATACTTTAGAAGGCTTAGTAAAGCGACAAGCACGCCCGGACACTTAGCCAACATGCGGAAGTGTGTCAAGATCCATACTTATTATACTTAAGAAATTTGATGAGCGTGGTGCCCTAACCGAACCCATGGTGGATAATGCATTTCCGAATGTTATCGCTATTGCACTTTGTTCAAGTGATGCAATGTATGTTTGATAATATCTCTTTTTTTTTCGCTATGTGATGAAATGCATACAAAGAAGGGGGTTGATTATATTGGCGAGCAACATCTGCACTTGAGCAGGTCATTCATAGAAGTCCCAGACATGAACACGAAGTCATTTGTTAAATGCACTACAGACAGTCACAAAGCAAGTGATGGTCGTGTAACGAACTGCACATCGCTATTGAACTTTGTTCAAGTTATGCAATGTATGCTTGATAATATCTGGGGTTTTTTCGCTATGTGATGAAATGCATACAAAGAAGGGGGTTGATTATATTGGCAAGCAATATCTGCACTTGAGCAGACCATTCACAGAAGTCCCAGACATGAACACGAAGTCATTTATTAAATGCACTACAGACAATCACAAAGCAAATGATGGTCGCGTAACGAACTGCACACTGACGCACTTATCGGGAGTTGTTATGCATGGGCACATCAATTGATTATACCGCACAAGAAATTCAAATATCATCTGATTTCAATTGTTATGCACACTGTAGGTTCTTATATGTGAAATTCGAAGAAAAGAACGTAACAAGAATTTGTCCCACCGCACGAGAAAATATGCAGATGACAAAGTCTACAAATGCCACCATACAGACAGCGACCATCCTAAACAGAACTCGAAATTCAGCGAATAAAAGAGAACAAAGTTGCATTGACAAAGGCAGTGGAGTAATGTCATGTCTAAGCAAAAACAATCGCCATTGAATGAAATATAGTCAAAAAAATGTACAGAAGTCATGGAAATCAATCAAAGACAATGGTGTTCCAAAAGACATGTTGCCAATTGTCGTCTAATTACAGGTATATCTTCATAAGAGAACCTGAAAGGTGGTCGATCACCACGTTGCAACAGCGTTGAAAACGTCAACATGAACACCCCGCAACTAGCTCCGTCAATTTGTCTCGGAACTCCTTCCACAACAACGTTCCCCGCCATAGACTCCCAACTCCTAGGCGACCGGCCATGTGAGGTATGACGTTCTAAGTATTGTACAATCAACTCGAAAACACTAAGGTAGAAACGCGAATCTGCTATAACGCGAGGATAGGAGTCGAAAATCTCGAAAACATTGTCCCTCAACTTGATGGAAAGGAGGATCCAGTGATCATTGTCTTTGTGCACCGGAACGAAGATCATATCGAAGTGAAGCAGATCTACATTCTTAGCCCACCTTTCCACCCCACCGTGTCCATGAAGTTGCAGCTTACTGAAGAAGAAAGAACAGAAGCAGAAGACTCGAAGACCTGATGATGTTTAACGTGTCATGCATGCAGTCGACCCCAAAAGCGCCATGTAGAAATTCACCACCTCATCGTTGAGCTTGCCATCGACAAGCAAGACGATGAGCAGATCTTTAGCTGTGACTCTCACTTGACCATCACCGAAAGTAGATAGAACATGATGAGGTGGCACCAAGCCTCGGGATACGTCACCCATAGCCGTCAAGACTCGAGGCGCAATCGCGTTATTAAAAATCCCCCCGCAGGCTCCACGTGCTCTGGCGCCAACTGCACATCATCGACCAATGCACACGCCGGGTTGTGAGAAAACTCACAGATCGCGGATACGTCCCCTTCTCCGGAAGCAGAAGGGAAAAGCATTTATCAATGGTCACGACATGGTCCTTCTCCCCAGTCTCTACATCAACCCCTGATGCCTTTAACATATTCTTGTATCTTGTCGTGAACGTGGGGACTTTCTGCAATATTCGTGCCGGATATTTCGAGAAAATGGAGGACCTCCATTTCCGAGTCCACCCTACCCCTGTAAAACAAAAGAAAGACAAAACCCGAAATGAATACACTATTCGATGAAAGTTGAAAAGTAAAATATTTACATAGCCATGCAGATGATGGCCTCTCCAACCAGTGGAGTTTGTCATCACGTAGTCGGGTTCAGCGAGGACCATGTGAGCCTTTGGACAGGAAAGCGAGGAGCGCAGCCGAGCCAGAGACCCCTGCACAACGCGAAGCAAGAAAACATCACGCCAAACAGTATGGAAGCCGGCAAACGACGAAGTCCGGATTCCGGCAGACTAGAAGCCACAACGCGCAGACACCGACCAACCACGTCCGACCCTGACACTGGAAGCGAGGATACCGGCGCATTAAAAAGATCGAACCACCGGAAGGTCTATGTTTTGTACACCGTCGGTGTCGTCACGACCAGTGTCGGCGGGAGACGGACAGCCCGCACTTGCAGATATGCGGTTGCCGGCGGAGTATCAGAGAGTAAGTACATCATGCACCCACAATAGAAGTGCAGACACCGGCGGACTTAAACAACCAGCAGATAGAAGGGTTGTTTTATCTTCTCGGCAGGGGTTGTTTGATTCGCTAGTATGCGCACTTGTATTGCAGAAGGGTGACGACGTCAGTCTCTGTGTGTCGGTCGCGGATGAAAGTCCGTCGGAATCCGTACTTAACCATGTGCCACCTCTCCTCATATCGTTGACAATGGTAGTGCGGATACCGACGGACCACAACGACCTGTCCTGCCAACGAAAGAATAGCACACTCCAGACGACGCAAACAAGGCAGGTGTGTCGTACCGAAAGGACCCAATGTTGTAGTTCGCCGATATCCGCACTTGCTGTGTCGAGGCCAACACCGGTTGATCTGTGTGCGCCCCTCAGGGCTAGAATTTTGGCGCAGCGAGAACTGCGCCAGTGTCGACAATCCTCTTCTGTGGCCGCACAGACCTCCGTCTTCGCTACCGTCCATGGGAAGGCGGAACTTGTCCTCTCGTCAAGGACAGGATGGCCGACTGACATCGTTGGCACTCTAGAGACGTAAACGTGCAGACGTGGCGAAGATCATTAACGCTTACCAGCCGGTTTCTCCCTCCGTTCCTTCATCGGCGACCGGGGCGTGGGTAAGGCAAGCACCGCGAGAGGCTGAGTGGCCACCCTAGTTTTTTTCAGGGACGTCAGATGCTGGCAGCCGGCAACCCCGCCACCCGCTGCGCCAGGGAAGGTGTCTGCTACTGTCGGAGACCAGGGCGACGGGGCCTCCAAGTCGGCGCCCAAGGAATGATCGGTGTCGACGCGCCCGACGGTTTTTGTAGGCGGGGACGGAGTTGATATGGCCTGTTATTCGTGGAGTTTGCAATCACTGACGTCGTTGACGTCCATTCGATGAGTCATTTTCGTCCGGCCCACTGCCATGGCGAGCTCGTCGCACACGTCCCGGAGATGCACTTCCGCCGCCAGTGGGTGCACGTCGCAGGCATCCGGGTCTGCGGAAAGGCCAATGCCCACCTGAGTCTCCATTTCCATCGTCGTCGCTTCGTCGTCGACGTCACCTCCGTGTTGCATCGTGTACAAGTTGTCGAACGAGTCAGACGACTCACCGCAGCCAGCATCTTCTCCACCCTCCGGCCGTTCATCCTCCCCTTCCGCTCTTTCCCCACCTTCTTTCCATTCAAGTTCTTCTTGGCCGTCCTCCACTTGTACCCATTCCTCCCCCCCAACCCTCTCGTGCATATCAGCTCATCCCACCGGCCCCGTGTCGACTCCCGTCGACAAGTCCTCTGCCCCCTCACACGTCTTATCTTCCGGCTGCTCGACGACCCCTGACTGCAGGTCCGTTCCCCAACAAGTTCAGATACTGGCGGAGATCGAATTGCAGAGCACAGACGACGCCCCTCTGTCCAACCGTGCATTGAACTTTGTAGGCTGCCCGTCTCCGACGACCGATGCAGTCCCCTGCAGCGAAGGAAAGTCGTCGGACGTCGCACCGGACGAGACCGAAATGCGGATTCCGGCGGACTTCGTTTTGGCACCCGTTTCCGACACTTCTGCTCCTGTGGCGCTGCGCAGGACGAGCTCCCCATCGTGTACCTCAGGAGGCTTCGTTCGGAGGGCGGCGGACTTGTACTTGACGCCGGTGATCGGAACACCGACACTCGAGCCTCTCCCGGTGCCAACGGAAGCGGCGAATTCAGTCATCGAGGGGAGGGCCGACCAATGTGTAGTGGATGCAGCGCGGACGCCGACAGACTTTGCAGCGTCCAAAGGCGGCGGCTCCACGTTCTGAGAAGTTCGGATGTCGGCAAACTTAGCCGATTTGCTGGCCCCGACGGTCGTCTTGTCAGCAACGTTCAACAACCCGACCCAGCCGCCGCTTTCCACTGTTTTGCCCTGGTCGTGAGTGCCAACCGATCCCCCTGATGCGGCGCCCTCTCCTGTCCCCTTGCTGCTTCCCCCACCCCCTCCACCGCCCAGAGGGCCTGGAGGTCCCCCTCCCGCACTCCCCTGCGACCCCGTAGCCGGGGGGACCTTCCAGTCCACGATTCCCTATGAAGGGCTCGTATCGAGGTCGTAAAACTCGTCCGAGAGCTCCAACCACCCCTTGTCTTGAAGCTCCAGAAGCAAATGATCAGCGTGTTGAACGACGGCCGGGTCGGTGGCCTGGAGAAGGGGGTTCTCTGACGCCACTTTATCCGCCACACCATTTCTTGCGAGTTGCAAGTACTCGGACTTGGGAAGGCGCGAGCATGGCTCCCACTGCCCAACCGAGTCCACGACGGCCATGATCCACTCCCGTTCGCGGATTGCAGGCTGGATCTTTCCCGGGTGCCAAATCATGTCCTGACCCCTGTCTGCTTCACTGGAACGAGTGTGGTCGTGCCCTTCAAAGTGAATGGACTCATCCTTCCAAGAAGGATGTTCCAGCGGGACTGCACTCCCTGGACGCAAATGAGGCGGGGCAACAGTACAGGGTGTGAGTTTCGCCAACAGCTTGCTGGGGGTCTTGCCGGGGGTGGACTTGCGAACAGGCGTCACTGGAGTGGCCTGGGTTGACGATGCACCCGCCGTCGAGGAGCTCGGGGGTGGAAGAACCGGAGCAGGGAGGTAGTTCCGGGCGATTTCCTCGGTGTCGCTATCCTCCTCCGGAACATTCGTGTCGAAAACGACTCCGGTCGTTGCCTCTTCTTCCGTGTCAATCAATGCACTGTAACTCGCGACCCGGAGCTCCTGCTCCGACTCAACAAAGTACACTCCAGCCGGTCCAAGAAGTTCTTCGCATTGAAACGTGAGGCGCCGTGGTAGTTGTCCAGCAACGCCAACATGTGCTCCCTTCGTCGAATATACTCAGGGTTATTGTCCCTCCTAGGCCACGTCTCCAGGAAGAGGAACTCATATATCCTGTCCCTTTTCCTCTCGCTTAGTTTGAACCACATGCCCGTGGACGGCTCCCAAACGCTTCGCGGTTTGTCCGTCCTCGAAATTAACTCCCAGCGGTGGGCTCCCGAGTTGACCGCGCCTTTCAGGAAATCCAACGTGTATTGCAGCAACTCCGAATTCCCCTCCAACGTGATGACGTTGCGACCGCCCTTCAAAGCCTCCCACACGACTTGCTTGTGCGCCTTCCCGAGAAACATGACACCCTCCCCCTTTTTGCAAACGAATTCCAGCAGATGGGCCAACTGCGCGGGGTTCCGTTCCATGTCCTTGTAAACTTTGCGGTCACGGCCAGGTATGACCAGGGGCCATTCACAAGGCTCGAACGACATCTCCGAGACGTCCGTCGGTGTGACTTTGACATGTGCCCCCACAGCAGTAGCATCACCCGCCTCCAACCTCGCGTCGTAAACCACAGACGTGTTCTCCCGCAAGTCGTCACCTTTGAAGAGGATGTACATGCGGTCGTCCACTGAGTACAAGTTGTTGCCGACTGCGAAGCTTTTCTTCTGTTGCGGCCTCCTCACCCACTTTCCTGCCATTGCCTTGACAACGGACAGATGGCGCAGACTGGTCATGAAGTGGTAGTCGTGCTCCCGGGGGGCGAAAGCAACGACCGTCCAGTGCGAAGGGAACAAATGTTGTAGAAGGGCATTCAAACTCTCGAAAGTTTGCTGTGTCCACTGTGTGATGTCCACAGGCTCGCACAAATCAAGAACGACAGTGTGACATTTCGTGATCCCAACCGCTTTCTCCAACTCGACGACCTTCATCTGCGCCTCCAGGGATCGACACCGAAGGGGGCGATGGATGTCACATCCCCCGAGTCCTGCCACCGAATATGCACCATGCCTTCGGCGAGCGCGACATCCATGCTCTTCGACCTGCTGCCGGTCAGCACGGAAAGGACCTTGTTCTTCCAGTCGATGGACAACTTCTTGTTGAGAACCAGTTTTTTTGTCGCCTTGATCGACTTGTCGTCCTCGCAGCCCATGAACGGGGGACAGTCTCTGAACAACGATAAGTCTCCAACGAGTTTCCTGCTTCCATCCCACAATGCTGCATTCAGTCCCTGGCTTTTGACTTGCGCCAAAATCGCCTCTCTTTTCCGCAGGAAGGGATAGGAACGCGTGCAATCGGAGTCGGGCCGATTCTCATACTTGAACTGGTAGTAGTTCCATAAACGCACCAAGATGCGGTCGCACTTCACCAGATCCAATGCCTCTTGCATCCCCAACTTCCCTTGCTTTGCCAACGCAGAGGAGCCGGTCTGCACCCACACCACCTCGCAGTTGAGAGCCTTCTTCAGCAGCCGACATTTCTCATTGACCGTGAGGGCTTCCATGCTTTTCCAGCTGTGCGGATCCGGCTCGTTGACTTGGACGAACCAGTCGTCGGATTCCTTTTCTTTTTTTCCTTTCTTTTGAGGCGCATCGATGGGGATGTTGTAGACGACCTCCTTTCGCCCGGTCTTATCATTTTCGATGTGGCTCACACTGGCCTTCACTCCCTTCACCTTCTTCTTCTTCGCGATCCACTTCGCCCCTTCGGGTGCCAGCAGTCTGTCCGTCTCCCATTTCTCGAAAAATTCCATTCCCATTTTCCACACGCTCTTACCGGCCATCGCAAGCGGGAAATAAGATCGAAGGGCAGCGTTCTGCTTCCTTATGCCTTGCTCGGTCTTGTCGTCAGTGAGTGTCCACAAATGATTGTACGCCGTCTTTTGAAGCGCATCTTCACAAAACCGGCGCCAAGACTCCACCTGAGTCTGTTTCCCGCTCGGGTTCCCCATAACAGCTCTGGGGTAACCCTTTTCCTTCCAGCACCACCGGATGTCCTTCATCGACAGTTTCTGCTGTCTGGGGGCGCCTTCAAGTCCTTCTTGTTATCCTCGGCGCTGACCAGAAAATACCCTTCGAAGTCCGCGTCGGAGAAGTACACCATTCGCGCAGGCCACCTCTCGAAGTTGTACCTCACCGCCACGTCTGTGCCAAGCAGCGTCCTGGTGGCGGCCACGTTATGCAGGCCGACAACAGCGTAGTAGTAGTACTGGTCTGCCAGCTCGTCCTTCCAGTCCTCGGGCTTCAGACGCTGTGCACACACCCCCGGCTTCGATTTCTCTAGCCCCAACGACGCCAGCTTCAGTGTGGGCAGCTCGTAAGTCTTCGAGGCCTGCAAGTAGGCCGTCGTCATCGCGTCGATGATTAGCTGTGTATGCACGGGATCCAAGAAACACTCATTGTACCCCGCTTCCCACTCCCCGATGTCGACAACTTGTGACGGGTTAACGGGTATCTCGCGCTTTGTGCGCACGCCATCTTTCCATTCGAGGAAATACGCCACATCGACGTCGATCGGACCCGTCTGCTGCACAGGGACGGACACGGGCTGAATCTGCGCCGAGGATGGGCGTTTGCGACTCGCAGCGCCCACATGCCCCTCCCCTCCCTTCCTTTTTCCCCCTGACGTCTGCGTGGCCTTTGTCTTCTGTTTTTTTGATGCGGCCGCCACGTCTCCACGTGAATCTCCCCTTCTCTTTTGCGATGACTGCTGTTCACCCTCTTCTCCACTGGACAAGACGCAAGCAGGCCTCCCCCCCGACCCCATTGTGTGACCCCCGACTGACGTCGAGGGCCGCTTCTCGACCGGTGTTCTTATCTCAACCCCCAGAATGCTCGGCACCCTACGGTCTCCCCCTCTAACCGGTGAACCCCACGTCCTCTCCTCTTCTACCCCCTCGTTGTCGTCGAAGCGGCCACGTTCCTCCCCGCGGTGGAGTTGGAACGAAGCATCGGAACCCAAATATCCTCCCTCGGACGGATCACCGCTTGACTCGAACCCGGTGCACATCTGCACAGGCTGCAACAGCGCCAGGTCGCATGAGATCTGGAAGGGTTCATCAAGGTGGACGTCTCTCTTTTCCAACAAGTTGAAGAACTCCCTAGCGGAAACAAGACCTTCAGCCGCGAGGTCTGTGTAGAAAGGGGTCCTCAAGGCCCCTGCACCGAACCCCTGGAACAGATCCCACGACAGGGCCGCCCCTTTGGAAGCAGCCACGATGCCGCCCTTCGAATTATAAACTGCGTGCAGCTTGAAATAAATCTTGTCGTGACTCCTAGCCGCTTGCCATCCCTCAACCGAGCCAAGCACTCTCCGGCGTCTACTATCTTCCACGAATAGAACCGGACCACACGGCACTCTCATGGGGTCGTTCTCATCCCCGCAGCACCAATCAACGTACCATTTCGCGCGCATATGATCGGACCACAACTTTTTGGTCGTCGATTCCCTTCCCGAGGTCCCGGTAGGCTGTTCCTCGCCCCTTGATGTAGACATTCTGTCTGCACTAGCCCAAATGAAAGAAGCATCGGGAAACACGGAACGCACAAACAATCAGCACAACAGAGAAGTTTGGATGCCGGCGGACTAGCCATGACGCGGCATAAAAAAACAAAATTCCTGGCGTGTAGTAAACACAACAGTCTCTAAGCGGAGGTTCGTTGCCGTGGAGCGGAGGGTGAAGACGTCCTCCGGACGTCATCGCCTGCACAGCGCCAGGAAATATTCTGAACAGAGAACAGCTCTCCACGCGCCCTTGTTGACTGCACGTAAGGGGCAGAATAGCGACAATGTTTGAATGGAGAAGCCCTGTGCGAAGTCCGGATACCGGCAAACTTTTGTCGACTAATAAGTGCGTTGCACGACAGGATGCCCTGACACGAAGAAGGGTCATTTTGGGGAGTTCCCTCCGGCACATTGTCGGACGCCATAGTCCTGAACACAAGACGAAGGGGGAGCGACAACGTCGAAGAACGATCTGGCTAAGACATTGACGAAGTGCGGATACAGGCGGTCTTCGATATATGCTTAGGATGTGCGAACGGATGGAAGGGGCGGTGGTAAAGTGGTCGGAGGCACGTTCTTGAAGAAATATGCCCAACATCCGTAATAAGAAGACGTCGGGGCTCGAGGACCTCGTATCGAAACGGCAGGAATGACGACGTCGCGGTTCAAACCGAGGAAGTTCGGATGCCAGCGAACTTCACAAATCGCCCATGACAACCGAGAGGCGAAACTCTGTTTGTGGAGTGCGAAACTTTGTTCGACACATGCCCAGATCCAACAAGAAGGCCAGAAATGGAGGTACCACAAAAGTGCGTTTGGCAGTCCGCAACCATTACCGCCGACTGTTCGGCACACCTTGAAGGTGGTCGGGAAGCCGTTCGGCAGCGCGAGGCCTGTTCCGCTGAGGAGACCGGATTTTCCGAAGTCCGGATCTTGGCGGACTTCAAGCGTCGCAGCCATCGTGGCACCCCCTCCAAACAACACACGTGTGTGGCCCGAAGAAGTCCGCCCGCATCCGAACTACGAAGTCTGCCCTGATCCCACTGTGCTGCTAAACTAGAGGCGGTTGTTGGAAACCGAACCAGAACGATTGCGTAGATAATGATAGTCACGTCTTGTCGGTGGTGTCGGCGGTTTTGGCATCAGACCCTCGCGTATTGTCGATGTGGGGCAAGTGTGGCTGTCCACCGGCACCCGAACTGTCATACTGCACCATCCAGTCTACAGTTGCAGTGGGTGGACACGGCCTAACAGCCCAACGATGGCGAAGGTCGTCATTGAAGCTCGGGTGCGGCGGGCCACGCGAGTGACTATCGGAAGGCGAAGTTCGTCGGGATTCGAACTTCAGCGGGGCTCGATTTGGAAAGAGACCGCGTCAGAGACATACGACCCGTGAGTCAGTGGTTGTTGTACTGAACGAAAACCAGGGATTTTCACGACGAGTGAGCGGCATATCATCGACTAGCAACTGCAGCCTCTCACAACTGTCAACACTACTTCACCTCTGCCATTTTTGGCAGCGCACAAGCGTCTCACACTTTCTGGCTTAAACTCAAGGTCTAATTGCCCGTACAGACCCGGTGACATTCGGGGGTCCCCAGGGACGTGGTCGTGAACCGAAACCATACAACGCATTCATTGATGATCCGTACACACGGATCAGCGGTTCATCGAATGATGCGCTCTCCGAAAAGACGGACATGTATTTCATCCTGACGAAAACTCCAGGTCGTGCTAAGGAATTTCCTATACAGTCCCGTATGTCAGACACTTTCTCTTCCACGTCATGCAACACAGTAAAGTTTTGGACCTGCCCTGCGATCGTCAAATCGGGCCACCGATCCACACGTTCAGGCCCTCCATTCGGCACAAATTTGGACCCCTCGATTACCACCTCGTTGTGTGATACAAGCACAACTGCATCGACGAGTTTCCTACTCTTATTCGAGGTGGTGACACATAGAACCCTGGCGAAATCGGATCGAGACACAGTCAGCCGCACACAGCAGTATGACACAGCTTGTGGAGAATTCCCGGGGCAACGGAGCGGGTACTGCTCCAGGAACGGGCAATGACGGGCGCAGTCCAGCAACTCTTGTTTCCGCGAGCCTCCCCAAGTTCGTGGCGACGACCTGACGTAGTGGCACTCGAGGCGGCTGAAATGGCGGCCAATGCTGGTCAATGCTCTGTGCATACGGTTCAGGAACTTGTGGCCAAGGACACCATTAGGCAGCGGGATGAGGTTCTCGAACTCCAACAAGTTGGCGAACTTGTACTGGCTTGCCCAAGGGCAGTGCCTCTCCATCGCGGACCAATTCCCATCGCACCAACCGTCAATATGCTCGTCCATGCACGGGACGACGGTCATCCAGGGGTCCTGGTCGAAGTCCTCTGCCGTCGCTCCGTGGATCGTAGTTACACCGTTAAAATACCGCACGGATCTCGCACAAGGAGGAAACAACGTGAATCTCGGGACTCATGGTCCGTGGTGTCGAGAACATCGACTCCATTATCCGTGGTGTCGAGAAGGTCGCCTCCAATACGCACCCTACAGACCACGCGCACATACCAGACGATACACACGTGGCCACGGCCAAACGTAGACGTAAAGTCCCGAACTGAAAATTCACGAGGTTCCACATGCCAGCACGCGCTGCCCACGCACAGGGTAAGCAGGCGGAGTGCGAATGCACAACAAGGAAACACCCCGATCATTGAAGTCCGGATGCCAGCGGACTTCTCCAGTCGACCAACAACGCAGGAGCGAGTACTTAGGCTGCAGAGTTTTTGTCCTCAGAAGTCCGCCCGCATCCGAACGTCAGTGACCTCCCTATTCCTCATCCGAACGTCGCCGACTGCCCTGCTCTGCTCCCAAGCATAAAGCACGCAAATTTGAAGTTCGGATTCGAGCGGACTTCGTCGCTAATCACCCGCAGCCGGTGCTCGACCATTAAATAGCACAGAGCACTTCGGCTGCAGGGTTTTTGTCCTCAGAAGTCCGCCCGCATCCGAACTTCAGTGACCACCCTATTCCTCATACGAACGTCGCCGACTGCCCTGATCTGCTCGCAAGCATAAAACACGCGAAGTTGAAGTTCGGATTCGGGCGGACTTCGTCGCTGAGCACCCGCTGTCGGTGCTCGAGCATTCGATAGAGAGCACGACAGTCATTAAAGTTCGGATTAGGGCGGGCATCAACAGGAAGCACTCGCACCCGGCGCTTGGGCATTGGAAACGGTGTAGACCAACCACTGAAGATCAGATGCGGGCGGACTACTCCGGTTGCCTCTGTTGGTGGCGCGCGAACATCGGATGAAGGGTAGGCCGAACACAAAAGTTCGGATGCGAGCGGACTTCTTCGGTCGTCCGCCTCAGAGAAAACGTGAAGTTCGGATTCCGACGAACTTCTTCTTCCACCCCTCCTGTGCTCGTCGTGGAGTACCCAGGTTCCATGTCGAACTAGGTTCGTTCGATTTCGAACAAGGTTCGATGTTGAACAAGGTTCGATGTCGACCAAGGTTCGATGTCGACCAGGGTTGCTTCGGTATGCAACAAGGCTCAGTGGCGAACAAGGTTCAATGCCGAACAAAAGTCATCCACAAAGAGATCGATGAGGATTCGACATGGATGCGCGGTCGTGTTCTGGATGGCCGCTTGTTTTCGATGTCGAGTATCATGGTCTCCGTCGATGTGGTGGCGTGTATGTGCACACACTAAGGGACAAATGCACACGATGAAGAGACAGGCTGTTTGCTTCTTTTGACGCTATGTTGTTATCGTCGGTTGGCGGGTTTCGTACGGCTATTCTCGTTTGGTCGAAAAGTCACGGATGGTGATGATGCGAAACTGGTTGTGTGTGCCGCTTCGCTCACGTTTGGATCTACCAGACGATTGTCGAGCTCACCGTTCCTGATAACGAACTTGCTCGACGGGTGCGTGCCACTTCGCTCACGTATAGATCTGAGATGATGACCGGCCATCCACTACCTAGGCTATCTATACATGCACGTGTAAGATCAGCGCAAACGAAGCAGCATGCACCCGTCGAGCAAGTTCATTATCGGGAAAGGTGAGCTCAACAATCGACCGATAAATCACTTGGTTGTCACACACAACCTGTTCACGCGTCATCACCATTCGCGGGGTGTCGACCAAACATGTCATGCCCCATGCCAAACGAGAATGGCCGTGCGCAATCAGTCCACCGAACAACGCGCAATAATCTGCTCGATAATTAGACAATTTTTCAGTGGAAGGGTGCGTTGTTCGGTGAATTGATTGCTTGTATAAGTCGACTGTCCACCTGTCAACTAAACGAACAACCGCTTGTGTGATACTCGCGACTGGTATAGCGCCGTGAAGCGTGCGAGGGTGGATCGTTCGATCCACCGGTTGCATGGGATGGTTGGCCATGGATTCCATCAATAATTCCCTGGAGGAACTGCGTGGGTTCAGCGCTGTCTCCCCACACACGATTAGAGACATCTACATACGCTCACACGATTCCACACATTGCAGGAACAAAAAAATAAGCACATACAGACGACGTGACTCCTGACACAAGCGAGCATGCACACACAAAGAATCAAATGCAGAAGACCGCTCAAACGTGCGCAGATCATGCGTGCACACACAACGAATCCCACTTACATGAATCCCTCTACAACGAATCCGTCTTACACGAAACGGTTCGAGTTTTCGGAGACGAGACTTTTTCATATATACACACACGAAATGTTTGCATTCACACGAAACGGATCGACTTCCAAACATTCATACGAAACGTGCACAGTCACACATACAAATCCCTCTACAACGAATCCCTCGTACACGGAAGCCTGTACAATGAATCCATCTTACACGAATCCCTGTACACGATGAAAATGGCGTCACACACACGGATCGTCTCCACACACGAAACGTGTACTCACCCCGATGAAGATGTCTTCTGCAGAATTGATCGTCCGCACGGAAATCGCAATTACGTTCGCGACTACGCGTGGGTTCGCTGTTCAAACAGCGGTGGACAAAGCACGGAAGATGACGCGGGGCTGCGCATAAAACGGGGCTGCACAGAAAGCGGCGCGGGAGGTGATCACCGTGGCGTTGGCAAGCGCGTGTGGGTTCGCTGTTCAAACAGCGGAGGTCAAGGCGCAGCGCTGAAGAACGCGATGGCGCCAATCCTTGTGCCGCAGCGCTGGGGATGAACGACGTGGCGCTGGGCAGGGGATGGACAACGTGGCGCTGCGCTGGGGTGGACGACGTGGCGCAGCGCTGGGGATGGACGACGCGGCGCAGCGCTGGGGATGGTTTTCGCGAGAGCGGGAGTGCAAGTGCGCAGCCCGACAGCATCTCCCCAATGACACGCGAGTGTGCGAAATGAATAATGGGGGGCCGGTTTCGATTTTCAAGCGAGCGACGGGCCTACCGCGCGGAAGGAAAGGCCTTTTTCGAAATCGAAAACGTGGCACCTGGTGGGGGGCGGAAACTTTTCACCCATTCGACCTGGAGGAAAAAGCGCGGGAGTCCGAGCACCGTTGGATTTGTCCAACCGACGACCATGGTCCGTGTGCGCGTAGGGCCTGCATGCATCACGACGCGTGTGAGGGACGTTGCTAACAATCGAAAGCAAGCCTTTCCAGACGCCACCAGGCGAGGGGGGGGGGGGGGGGGGGGGGGGGGGGGNCCCTCCATGTCCACCACCTCGCTCACACCTCGCATTGGGGAAGACGACATAATGTATTATGATTGTGGAGGATTCCTGCAACGAGGCGACGAGGATGACAACATGCAGAAGGGCGGACGACGACACATTCACACAACCTGCTAATTGACAAACAGAAGTGTGGCAAAATTAGAAAAGGGGAAAAAAAAAAAAAAAAAAAAAAAAAAAAAAAAAAAATTGAAATTATGAGCGGTCGGTGCAAGAACGGCCAACAGGAATTAAACAATCTATATGGCATTCCCTTCATCCTGTCTCTTATACACATCTAGATGTGTATAAGAGACAGACCGGGATCCGATCTCGCACATGTTCACGTTCCTTCTGGCAAGAGCACGAAGTTCGGATGTCGGCGGACTAGCACGACTGCGATCCCTTCATCTCCACCAGTGCAGCTCGAGATCGTGAACATGAAGTTCGGATCCCGGCGGACTAGCACGGCATGCAATATGCACACGTCTCCACAATCTGTCTCTTATACACATCTAGATGTGTATAAGAGACAGACACCAGGCGACGGGGGGGTCGGAGGGGTGGCATTTTCGCTGATGGGCAGGAGGACCATTGGACCGGGCACCAAACGGGACAGCAATGGAAGCCCTGGGCGAACCGTCCGATTTGCGCAACGCGATGCCATTTCGCGGCGGGGTGGGAGGGTACCGTGAGGCGGAACGTCACACACGAGACCGACGAGCAGGGAGCTGCGCGAAAGCTCCCGCGCAAGTGGACAGCCCAGTTCCCCGTCCCATTCCCTACATTCAGTCCTGCTTGATGACAGCTCGGCTGCGCTGCGCCATCGTCGTCATTTACCCCAAGCTGCGCCGCGCCATCCCCGTCCTCGGCGAACGATCTCCAAGGTACGTCGGCTTGCGTTAGGCGAAAACGTGGCGTCCGCAAACCGTCCTGCCACTCCACTCCCTGCCCCGTTCCTTGCATGTGCCAAAGAAGAGAGGGAGAGAGAGACAGAGAGAGAGCGAATC